CACTCCGCTGAAAATTAACAAAATGTTTCCAGGCAACGATACTACAGTGGATAAAAATCACTTTTCTATCCGGTCCCCTTGCGTGAGCGTTTCTTTGGACGTGAATCTTTCGGGTCCACGCGTCGAAATTAAGATAGCTGCTCATCTTGAACGGGAAAAAGTAGGTGAGCATGGAAGATAAAGAAGAGTTGACTACTCGGCGGCTGGTACGTAAATCTTGTGTTTCTTCTACATGATATTCTTCTACGTGCAAATTCTTTTACGTGAAATTCTTCTGCATCGAAATTTTTTTTGCATGCAAATTCTTCTACGTAAACGTCTCAGAACAAACCCTCCTACGTGAAATTTCTTCTACGGGTAAAGCTTCGAGGGGAAGAGGCTTTGGGTCCGTGCTTCAGCCTGAAATATTTCCTGTGCTTGGCCTAAAGATAATTTGATAAAAGATCATACAAGAATTTATTTTTGTCATCGTGCTAAAATCCAAAATATAAAAATCATAGTTTTCTATCTTTCAGTGAAAAAGACCCGCCCTGTTCCATTTGCATGATTCAGTTCTTGTCATTCTATTAATGCGTGCTGATTATGTACTATACATTAGTAAAAGGCTGTGTTAAAACCCAGTGTATGTAAAAGTTACCTGCATTTCATTCATTGATCCGGATATAAATTTATGTAAAGGTAGGAGTAAACACCAATTGATTATCCTCCTTCGCTGCTTCGACTGAGGTATTTGACAGTATTTATTTGCTTTAGTTTCATTAGATATCTGCTAAAAATTGTAACTGTATAATTTTGGTTATTTCTGGAAAAGGGTACGGACGTAACGAAATTTGAAATTTAACGTGTATAACGTGTAGTTTTAAAATGTAAAAATATACACATAAACATATATATATATATATATATCCAAAAATCTGAAAGGTTTCAGATAAAATTATATGAATCAGAATTATAATATAACTATAAACATTAATTCTTCCTCTCTATTCTAAAATCGTAATAACTTATCTGCATTGCGTCATTCAAATTAATCATGCGATCTTACGTATCCGTTAATACCAGATGCCTCTTGACGACCAATCACCGAATTGTAAACCAAAACTTTTCTCTTCGCGTGCTTCCATCTTTCATAACTACAAACTTCAGCTTTTGCTCTCTACTGTGCTAAGATATAATTTCGTACGTAGAGACATGGGTATCACAATTTTGTACAATCCCTGTTTTTTGATAGTTAAGACATCATTCATTTTCCTATACTTAGTATTGCAAACATTATCTAAATTTTGATATTCTTTTATTTCTTCTAATGATAATAAATTAACTTCCAATCTTAAATGTTGACACTAGGATTTCTAGAGAGCATGTCAGCTTCAACATTAGTAGATCCTTTTTTATATTTTATATCAAAATCATACATAGATAATTTTAAAGACCACCTAAATAGACGACCTGTAGGGTGTTTTATATTTTTAAGCCAAACTAAAGGAGCATGATCAGTATGTACAGTAAAATGGTTACCATGTAAATAATTATAAAATTTATAAATTGCATCAATAATAGATAAACATTCCAGCTCAGTAATGGCATAATTTTGTTCATAAGATCTTAATTTTCTAGAATGAAAAGCAATTGGATGTAAACTACCATCAGGATGTTCTTGTTTTAAAACAGCACCAACAGCTTCTTTGGACGCATCAACAAATACATGACAGGGGTATTTAGGATTAAACAAAGTTAAAATAGGTCTATAAATCAATGCATCTTTTAATTTTTGAAAAGCTTTTTGACATTCATCAGTCCAATTATAAGGAGTATCTTTCTTAAGTAAATTTAGTTAACGGGGCTCTAATTTTAGCATAATTTTGTATGTAAGATAAAATTATATGAATCAGAATTATAATATAACTATAAACATTAATTCTTCCTCTCTATTCTAAAATCGTAATAACTTATCTGCATTGCGTCATTCAAATTAATCATGCGATCTTACGTATCCGTTAATACCAGATGCCTCTTGACGACCAATCACCGAATTTTAAACCAAAACATTTCTCTTCGCGTGCTTCCATCTTTCATAACTACGCACTTCAGCTTTTGCTCTCTACTGTGCTAAGATGTAATTTCGCTGGCTTGCTTTCTATCTTAACAATATCAAAAATGTAAATCTTCTGTGGAAAGGCACGACTAGAGTGCCAAGTGATCTGTGGCCACATATGTCAATTGGAAATAAAAATGGAATTAAAACTGCCTCGACTGCCAAGTTCTTTAAATACTACGCAATCAAAATTCTTCTTCAATATGGATCTAAGCACACATCGACACTGCTCCGGCTTTTCCTTGTTTTGCTCTTATTATGACATATATATATATATACAAAAATCTGAAAGGTTTCAGATTTTAAATTACGTCCAAAGGGACTTTTTTTAACGTTTTTTGTGTTACCTTTATTTATTAAATATCATGTTCCTTGCCCTTAACAATAAAATTCAGTTCAATAGCAATATCGCAAAATAGTTTTAAAATGAGCATATCCTTTAGAATTTCCGTTATAGAGACTCACGCGCTGGAGATAAAAATGTTTTTCTGTAAAACATTGCCATTGCTTGCCTTGAAATTCTTGATTTTGTTAATAAAAAATTCGTTAAAGTTTTACAAAATAGGAAATCGATAATAAAACAAATTCCAAATTTCAAATTTGGTCTTTCACGGGGCCATATTCGTAGGAGGATTACATCATTCAAAATTCAATGGCTCTATGTACTGTTGTTTTATCACAATGCGAGAAATAAACATACATTTATGCAGATTTTTCATTATTTAATTTCTTCAAATATAATGCAGGACTGTAACATTTGGTGGTAACAGTTTGAAAAGTGATTCGTCGTTTATAGTAATTAAACGTAAAATCGCAAAACGAAAACTATAGTCCATCAGGGACAAAGACCTTTTAGATTCAAAAAAAGAGATAAGAAGAGTGGATTGTATACCTAAGTTTATTGTTTATCTGACGGTTTAAGTACTCTATAAACTTTAATTATGAACGTGTGGTATCTCTAGGGTAGTTGTTGTAACTTAGTTACCCGAGAGAAAATGTTTTGAATAAACCCAGAAAGTAAATGTTAAATCCGAGTCTGTCATTTTTTCCAAGCATATTTTTATTATTATATTTATTTTACTTATTTGTGATGAATTTATTTTCTACGCTTTCCAAATTATTTGGCTAATTATCTGAAGGTCTATTCCGAATGTGTGTCTAGCCATTCAACCAAAACGAAATCTGAAGCTAAAATAATCACACAACTCACTTCCTAACTGCTTCATGGCCTGTCTTATTAAAGGTCTGACTAAGGTGAATTTCTCTGTCACTGTAATTCTTGTTTTACTAGTTAGGACAGAATAATTAAAGGGTTTACGTCGCCAAAATGAAAGTTGGTCTTAATACACCAACAAAACATTTGTGGTGTCGAGTGAGGTACCACACAACACAATTATCCATTGCTTAAACTATACTCTCATTTATGCTCACCCTATAAAACAAATGAATGATATGTTCGACGAGATGCAATAGTTTTGCACAATATCACTCTGCTAATAAATAAATAAATAAACAAAAATAAGTAAAAGAGAATGTTTGATATTTTCTCTTGGCAGATTTCTTTTCATATACATAATGAGTATTTCATTTCAGATACATTATGAAATACTAACTACGATTATATCCTTCTAGCGCAGATGTTAACAGCGGCGAATCCGTGAATCCACAAGAAATACGTGAAAATTTCAATTCAAGTGTACGAACTGCTTAATATACAAATCCATTCATATTGGAATGAATATCGTTACAAATTTCTATTCATATCATTACCGATAATTTCAAAATTATTTTCTCTTATACTTTAATTAAGCAAATAAAAGTATATTTATCGCCTGAAATCACATTCATACTTACAAATATTAACCTTATTAACAGAGAACCTTGTGATACTTCTTTAGCAATTGGAAGTAAACTCCAATGATGGAACACACTAATAATTTTTTTTTTTGCACTAAAAAAATGGCGACATACAAACAAGAGAAGAAAAATTATATCAACTTATTTTTTAAAAAAATAATTACGTGCTTCGTACGAGAAAATGCATGCAGCTCTCGAGCCTGCATTTCAATATTGCCAGTAATCTGTACATTATTTATTATTCATCTATTTCAAATGCAAATGCACGAGAGATTAATAACGAACATTAAAGCTGTTACACAACCTCTTCCCCAACGGAGAGACTTTTTCCGAAGGGAAAAGTTCAGTAAAATTCGAAAGTTTATGGAGGTCGGCATTTCTGAGTTATTTTTAGAGAAGACGTAATTTCTCCCATAAGTTCCAAACTTTAGACAAAACTTTTAAGTTTTCAACAAATACTTTTACACCACATTTAAATAGAAAAAATGGAGAACGTTCAAATTAGTCTTCCTTTTTTTTTCTTTACGGTGCCTAGATCTCTTCCATGTTGGACCAGTTCCTCGGCTATAATTCACAACAAAGCCTTTCCTCAGTTCATTTGTGCCTTTCGGATAATATTCAACTTTCATTTGCTTTCGACAATTGTTTTCTTCGTCTATTAGTAGCGGCTTTGATATTAAATCGAAAGCCGAAAGATGATGATAACGCTGCATTGCAAAATGATTCTCGATATTAATTTCTTTATCGGAAGGTTCTCTAGCTATCAACTGGGTTACTTCGTAAGGAAGTAGTCCTAGTAAATGAGATACAAATTCTTCTTTATCAATTTGAGCCCATTATGCTTGCCTTTCAAACAATAGCAAATATAGATTGATATCTCCTTTCTTGTCATCGAATTTCTGCATAAGGTGACGCAGCTCCGTTTTCGGCCGGATCTGTCCGGTATTTTGAGACTTTGTCTCTGCTTCAAGTCTTAATCTCTCTAATTCATACTGTTCTTTCCTTCTCCGCTCTTCCGCTTCTTCCTGTCTTCTACGTTCTTCTCTTTCCTCTCTTTCTGTTCTTCTATTATTCTGTCTAAGACTCCTTTGACGAATACTTCATCATAATCTCTACTTTCAACAATTTTCTGTTTTAAATCGACTATTTTCAAATCTGCAGTCACATGAACTCCCAGTTCAGCCGCGAGATTTTGCAAATCTTCCTTACGAGCTCTTCCTAAGTAAGACATTGTTTCTATGTTTAAAATTAACGAACACTGTTTTCTTTGTACTTCCTCAGAACAGCTCAATTCAATTACTTTAATTAATTAATGCAGTAAGGAATCACAAAATTAAATACACTCTGTTAAATACGTATATCTCAAAATGAAATATTTAAATTATATGAAGTTCAGACTCTCTACCACATTAATTGGGACTAAAATAAGATTAACAACATAGAGCAATATATATATATATACTGTCTGGACAACTAAAATGAATATTAAAAATAATATCCAATATGGTAATAAAATAAGACAATTCAATATTAAGAAAGTAATATTCTGGCATCGCTAATATTGCGTTCAGTGATGAACTAATAACATAATAATAAAGCAATTCAATATTAACAGGAAGTAATAATATGGTATCACTAATATTATGTTCAGTGATGAACTAATAAAATAAAAATACTCACAATTATTCGAGCTCGTCGGTGCCTCCAAAATAATATTGACTGTGATACTTCTTTAGCAATTGGAAGTAAACTCCAATGATGGAACACAGCAATAATTTTTATTTTGCACTAAAAAAAATGGCGACATACAAACAAGAGAAGAAAAATTGGTGCTACTTTGGTAGACGGTTGCACGGATATTGGCGATTTTTGGCGATTTACCTTTGGCGAGTAAAACAACTTATGGTAAACCCATTGCTGGATAAGTTATTTATAGTAACCGATACTTTGTTGTCATTTTATTTTAAAAATAATGCGTTTTATTGTGCATAAATTCCGTGTTTAAAATATTATTTATGGCTTTTAAATGTTAAAAAATTAATTTAATTTTGCATTTTTATTTGAAATAAAAATTTTATTGTCTATCATATTTTATGAAATTTTATGTTGTGGATGATGTAATCAATGACGTCACCTGACTTTAATTCGTTTTAATATGTATAAATTTAATCTAATGTTTTAAACATTATTTATGGCTGTTAAATATTAAAATACAATTTAATTTTGCATTTTTTTAAAAAATGATTTTATTGTGTATGAATTTTTAAATAATTTTAACTCTAGCCGTGATGTAATAAGCTCTCTGATTGGTTATAGAATATTTGTGCATTAACGAGCTGTAATCAGCTCCCTAATTGGTTACTGACAATTTGTGCATTTCCGCGCCGTTTTAAAATTTAATTCATATCTTCGAATTCCTTCAAAGATGTCTTCAAAGATGTTATCTAAATAATGATTCTGATTTTTTGTGGTACTTATAAATAAACAACAGGTTAAATACTCAAAAAAATGTAAGTGCATATTTTTTTTAAATTTTATAATTGTATACTTCAATTTTTGTTAAAAAAAATTAATACACTATTTTCAGAAATTGCTGAGATAATTATTGTCCATATGTTTTAATGTTAATTATATTCTATATAACGTATTTTAAAGTATTTGAATTTAATAATATTCTAATTCTTTTAAATGTTGGTATGATGGTTTTTAATTCGACATTCAATTTCCGTAATATTTTAGTCTAATTAAACGTTGGCCCAATGTTTTTATAGCGGTGTTTTTATTCTCTTCTTTGCTATATGAAAGTAATAATAACCTTACTTTAGTATTTTATACTCATAGTAAATGTATTTATTTACACTTGCCTGCCATCTTAAGAAACGACATTTTCAACAAAAAATTAATCCATTACTTTTAACGATATTTATTTATTTATTTTTTTTAAAGTTTCGAATACTTTACTATGCGTAAAAACAGCGTTTTTCAAGATGGCTGACGTTTGTAAAAATCGCGCCAACAATTGCGCCAACGTAAATCGCCAAAAATCCGTGCAACCGTCTACCAAAGTAGCACCGAAAAATTATATCAACTTATTTAAAAAATAATAATTACATGTTTCGTGCGAGAAAATGCATGCAGCTCTCGAGCCTGCATTTCAATATTGCCAGTAATATGTACATTATTTATTATTCATCTATTTCAAATGCACGAGAGATTAATAACGATATTAAAGCTGTTACAACCTCCTCTGTCTTACTTAACAAAACAATTTCTTGTTAAAAAAAGTTCATTTTTATCATCAGAGGGGCTATTACTCTCTATCCCAATTTTTGCGATGTTTCGTTTTTCAAATCAAAAGTCGATCATATATACAGGCTTCAAAATCTGATTCCTTTCAGATATTTTATTTTAATATCTTTGATTTATATTATGTTACTTTCATTAGTTTTCCAGAAGCAGTTTCCCAAATAATTAAGAAGAAGCAAAGAACAGAAAGGCCTAGGAATAATCTTCAAAATAACAGTAGCTTACGAATTTCTAGCGGTAAATGATATTTAATTTTTCATATGATTTCAATCTGCGAATTAATAACGTAATTAAATCCGGATTAATAAATATTTTCTTCATAAAACGGCGCGTCTTTAAGATTATGTTTAATTTTAAAATATTGTAATATTCGAAGATTCAATGCATTTTTGCATCACTTTATTTTAAATTACATAGAAAGGAAAAATGACAGGTTTGTTCAAAATTTCATTGTTGAAGTTTTGAGTTAAAAGCATTCCTGCATTTCTTTAAAGTCCCTAATTAACTAATAAAATAACGTAAATATCTTTAAATAAATTAAAGTTATTTATAAATAACCTTATTTTATAATTATCTTGCCATTATTTATAATTATCTTGACATGAATTAAAGCCCTGACTATAAAAATAAGTTTGTTTATTTGAGGAACAAGGAAAAATAATTGTCACAAATCATCAGCGCTAAATAAAACTGTCTACAAAAATGTTGAAAATGGAAGTATGGGACAACAACAATCAAATTAACTGGCGTCAGAGTATTTGGAAATTGTTTTTACCCACGGCAGAAAATTTATACCATGCAATTCGGAATATACAAGTAATTCAAAACTAGGGAACAAGCCTAGGAGTATACTACTGTAGGAGGAGTAGGGTACCCAGAGGAGATTCGGAATCACATAGCAACGTATGGTCGGAAATGTAATCCTAACGCGATGAAGGAGATATTAGGGGCTGCCACAGGAAAAGCGTCGACAGCCACCTGCAGGGATGTTAGTATGGAAAATATTAATACATTGAAATCGCAAATTGGCATTTACAGATCATAAGGTTAAAATAAATCACGACTTTCCTGATAATGAAATTACACGTTTCATAACATGGGTACCACATGGAATCCCGGACATATTGAACACGAAGATGAATTATTTTAAAATTGCCAGTAGATTTCACAACATTCGAGGTTCCATACTGTACCCCAGGTTGCGAATGTCGGGAACCTCAATCACAAGGAGAATCAGGACCTCAATCATCAGGAATCTTTAAAATGTCAGTTTGCGATCGCAACGAATACCAACAAATTTTTCCTTACTACCTCTTATCAGCTGAAGGATAAACAACGATGTAGGAACAACAAGCCAATAATAAGTGGAAAAAGTCTTTATTTAGGGATAATTTACAATACATGTACATTTTCAGTTTCACAAGAAGTGCTCAAAGTTCTGACCATGCACCCACTATCTCGCTAGGACTGCATATGAGACCTGCATTACCATGAGGGCTCGAGTCGTCTAGATATACCCTAACACTTTTAGAAGTTTATAAATCACTCTGTATAGAGAAGATAAAATATAAAAATATAAAATTATCTTATAAAATTTTACATTTGCTTGAATTCAACAATGCTGTTAAATATTTTTATTAATAACATTCTTTTTTGACATTTATAAGCTAGCTTCTTCATTCTAAATGATGTTCATTCTTACATTATTTAAACCGTTTCTTAATATCAACTTAACATGCATAATCTTCTGAATTTATTCTCCACGTTGAACTGCGTGAAATATACACGTAAGTAAATTATTAATGCTATTTCTGTATTACATATAAAATGGGTTATTTTCTCTTTCAGTGTTTATGAACTGCCTCTGGGTTGACTGTGATTTTAATTATTTTGAGTTAACCGTGGACTTCGTCCCCAGCATGATCACTTTTAATCAAAGTTTGACTGTAAGTAATTCACCCTTAATGTAATATTAAATTTCAAAATATTATATCACTCGAATGATCTACATTTTTGCCTGACTTTATGTCCTGTTGTACAAACACGTTAAACTCAAATCTTTCAAAATATCAATGTAAAAAGCAAATATAAATTTTCTAGAATTCTTCAAATAATTAATAATATTAGCATAAAAGACTTTAAATAATTAATGCTATATAAAATACGTTTTCGAGCAAAGTAAATTAGTAGAAGACTTGATGAAGTAAGTTTATTAAACACCCACCAATGATTCTAGCAAAGAAAATTATCTTCTGGACATGATTGTCCACACAATGTCCCAGCAAACATTGTGAACAAACAGTGACAGAGCAGAGAGCAAGAACAACGTCCGATCCGGATATGGAAGTCCTCATCAAAAGCTCCGTATTTCGCTTTCACTCGAAATATTTTCCGTTTCCTTTCATTGATCTAAACGGAAACACAGTCCTGCTACCTGCGGGGCTCTCTGCGAATCGATTGCAATACAACGTTTGCCGGAGACTAATGGATGGCAGAGATACCAACGAGCAGACAACGAGACGTGACTACTACACGAGGAAGGCGCTTTGGATCATAATGATTCGTTCCAAATTATAATTCGATATGGGCAACTATAAATTCCTTATATGGTGTTTGGACAAAAAGTAATCATGTCTTTAACAACCTCCGATAATTCGAGAGAGCTTTCTGTTCCAAGTCCTGAAACTTCTTCCTTTGATATTTTGAAAGATATTTCTCATTTTCAATCAGTCAATTTTCGATGAATATTACTAAAAGTGCGAGAATTTCTAGCAATATTTTATTAAACAAATCTCATTTATTTTATATAGTTATTGCTGGATTTGTTATATCATAACTTTCTAAATTCCGATGGAGAGATTATGCAAGATTTAATAACAATATACACAATGCGACAAGTGTCTAAAAAAGGGCACAAATAGATTGGATTATAACTGAATACTTTTAGTACATAAGGAATGTACTAAACGTGTATAGTGTATATGTTGTATATATTATAATGTCTGAGATGACTGTCTCTGTAAAAGAGATATATAGTATACATACCTAGTCCAAGAGTGAATGCATTGTAACCTGAATTAGCGGACAGAAGGTTATCTGAACTAAGACTTGATTTTTAAGCTCTCAGACAGGTTAGGGTAAACCTTAAAAATTGCCTATTACGGCCATCAGGAATTGGCGGCAAACGTGCACGTTTAGATCCATCACCGACTGAAGGGTAAAAGCCGCTGAACACTGGAAGTTCGGTTCGGGTTTCAGGTTCTGGCGAACGGGTTGGTTGCACGGGCGTTTTGGGGTTTTTCCCGTGTGTAATGTGGATACGAGCCAAAACAAACCTTACCTCATTAAGTGATAATACATTTCACTGTCATTGAGCTGCCCTTCTGCGAAACATTCATTTAGACCTTTTGTTTCATTAAAAACTGCAGTGTAAAAATTTATTAATATTCTATACTTGTTCTTTTTGCTTCATTTTTTCGTACCAAGAAATCAAAATGAATATGTTAGCTGTTTATTTCACAGATAGATATTTTATGAAATATTATGGTTTTAAAAACAAATTCTGAAAATTTAGAACAACGGATACTTTAGAACAACGAATACGTATTTTCGAATCCTCTTACGTAGAAGCTGCCGAATTTTCAGAATGCGCGAAAGTTTAGCGATCGTAGCATAACCATTCTTTAGGCAACCATGTTCATAACAATCCTCCCAGCAGGGCGAGAGCGCCATTTTCATATGGTCCTTTTTTGGTTGTTGTTCCTCTCCAAGTTTCAGTGGTTTTTAAAAACAAATTATGACATTTTTTGCAACTCAAATTTAAAAATATGTGATAATGGAATTTGTTTGCAAAGTAATGGAAGAAACTTAGCAAACATTTCTGCAACAATACAGTATTTATCCTCAAAATTCCTAAAAGGAATAATGATGAGATGAGTTTGGTAAGTAGTTCATATACAAAGCCGAAGTTGTACTCATTGGCGAGTTAATGCAGTACTTTGATGTTTCCTAGAGCGAAAGGAGTTTCTTGGGTACATGGGGAAAGAAACAGCGCAAAAATTTACAGAACAATTTCGAGAAAATATATTTTGTTTTTTAATGTATTGTATAATACTTATTCGAGGCCCGGTGGCGCAGAGGCTAGCGCATCGAGCAGCAGCACCACAGGTCCGGGGTTCGAACCCCGGGCTGGGCAAGGTCGATTCAGCCTTTCGTCCCTTGATTTCCATCACTTGGGTCGCTAAAATGAGAACTAAGTTCGCTTGGGACTTAAACACTGGGGGTCCTGCGACAAGCTGACCATTTGTTCAGGGCATGTGCTTACGCACCCCAGGGCCCGCGGTCAAGAAAGCAGATTTTGGGGCACTCCAGCCTTGGCCCATTAGGGCTGTTTGAGCCACTAAGTTTAGTTTTTAAAATACTTATTTAATAACTAAAATCTGTTATTTTACATTGCTAAAATTTCTTTTTTTAAAATATGTCAATGATTTAGCAATCTTCTTTAAAAAAGTAGTAAAAATCTCCAACTTGGGCCGGATAAGTAGCTTTTTCCAGTTTTACCCAGCTGAATAATTTTTTTATGATTGCAATCAGCAGTAAAATTCTTGCAGTTACTGAAAATCATATAAATGATAGAACTACATAAAAAACTGTATTGTGTAAATATGGTGTCTTAATTATCATAAAACCTTAGTTTATCAGCTGTTTCATCAAAGTTACTTTCGTTAAAAGTTAGTAAAACTTAAATCTCAATTCTCTTGAACTAAGATACTGTAAGATACCGCAAGATACTGTAAGTCAGAGCCTTGCCTATATATGTTTTCATCCGAGGAAAAGATGTAAATTTGAGCCTCTAGATATACTGAAAATTGGAAGGAAAAAAACGAATGTGTATATAAAGTTGTCAGATTTCATTTAAGATGTTGTTAAAGTTAAAATAATCTATTATATATTGTTAAAATTAAAATAATGTATTATATATTGTTAAAATTAAAATAAGCTGTTATGTATTATTTTACTAATTGGCATTTCTTAGAAAAGTTTTTCAGAATATTTTCATTTTTGCAATCTTCTACATATCACTCAGAAACGCGGCTTTGTCAAAAATTCTTCGGCTTTGCCCTGAAAATGACCAAGGAATTTTCAGCATTTTTAAAATATTTTATATCAATTTTATTAACATTATTGAATTGCTGTAATATATATGTCATAATAAAAGCAAAGGAAATGACGGAGACTGTAGATGCGTAGTTATCCTATATTGAAGAGGAAGTAATCTGATTGCGTCGTAAGCTAATGTGTTGACTTCGTAAATAAAACTTGGCAGTAGAAGCGATTTTATTCATTTTATTTCCAATTGGTATTTGTGGCCACAATCACTTGGCACTCTAGTCGTGCCTTTCCACAGAGGATTTACATTTTTGATATTGCTGAGATAGAAAGCAAGCTAACGAAATTACATCTTAGCACAGCACAGAGCAAAAGCTGAAGTGCGTAGTTATGCAAGATGGAGGCACGCGAAGAGAAAAGTTTTGGTATACAAGGACAGTTTCAGTTCCCAATGATTACGTCATCAGAGCTGCGCCGATCATAGAGTGATCTAGAAATGACGCAATGCAAAGAAGTTATTACGATTTTAGAATAGAGAGGAAGAATTAATGTTTATAGTTAATCTCTAATTTTGATTCATATATTTTTCTTACATATTCCCCCTTCAAAAAGAAAAAGGCTTAGCGACAGAAAGCCTTTTAAAGAAAAAAGAGTTAAAGCACAAGCAAATTAAAAAAAATATATATAAATAATAAAATTTTGATCCTGTAAAGTATTATTTATAAATATCAATTTTTTTAAAACAAATTTTTAATTTTTAAAGTCCTATGGAATTTTTCAGCATTTCAGTCCAAAAGTCTTTTTGTTTGAGAATTCACATAATCATAATTCTTCAGGGAAGGTTCTTGTTATTACAGAATACCACAAAAACTTTTACATAATCATTACTTATAATTAAATGTAATGCACATAAATATTTATGATATTAATTTTCATATTGATAAATTTATTTTAATACCAAATAATAATAGGAGTAAAGCTTCAGAAAAATTATGGTTTCACCGTTATCATCTTTCATTACAATTCCTGATTTCACCAAACTGGAAGCCTCGCAATACTTCTAAACAAACATATCCATCAGTAGGCTGTCCTCTTGCGCTAACCAGTGTGTTCTCTGCACTGGTGGCCCAGGGTGCCTAGACAGTTACTTGAAAGACCTCCGTTCCTTGCATTAAGGGTAACTGGCCTTTGAGAACTGCACTAATACATTCCATAATAAAAATATATAATACTAATAATAATATAAAAAAAAATTACAACACATAAAATGAGAGCCTCCAACATTATCTGCATGAAGAGGGTTAAAAGGAAACAACTGTACAGAGGTAATTACAGGCCTCTGTTGAAGGAAACCAGTTACACCCTCATCATACTATACTTAACACACAATCAGCCATAAATTTAACATGCATTTACCATAATTTCATATTACGTATCTGTAATTTCACTTATTTTTAACATCTACTTCATTTTTAGAATAATTATAAAATTCGTATTCAAAATTCTCAAACAAAATTTCAAAAACATAAAAAACTTATCTTAATATCCTTCCCTATGAATAATTTATATAGCTTAAAATTAATTACTTAATTTGCTCACACATAATTATGAAAAATTAGAAAAATTAATAAACAAGAATTTCAGATTTTCTCCAAACAAATTGCAGAAATTTTAACCAAAGTTGAAATGAAAACTATAGAATCTGCAGCACATTAAATAATTTAGTTCCTGAGCTAGGTTCACACGAATGTAATAATTTTTGAGCTGTCATTAGAGCTGCGCCGATCATAGAGTGATCTAGAAATGACGCAATGCAAAGAAGTTATTACGATTTTAG